GCTTCGAATTGTTAGTGCATCTGGTACCACTAACACTGTTTATTTTCGAAAAAGCTTACGTTCGAACGGGTTCGTACGAAAACCAGACGGGTTCGTACGAACGAACGATTCGTACGAAAACGGGAATAGAGTTGATAGTTTTACAAACGCTTGTTTTTGAAATTATAATATTTCCTTCCTCATTTAGAGGTGCAGATAGAATCTAGAAGAAAACAGAACATTTCTCATATTGTATGTATTCCAAGAGGTGATCACTCCACACAGTGCGCCGAATACAGATTGGCATACAAACTGGCAACGCTGCACTCTATGCACAGAAGTGTCAAATCACAAGAGATCAAATAAATTCTCCTAGATTTTTCGCCACTTCTATTATCAAATTGTGATAAAAACGAAGTGCAATAAATACCAAAATGTCCCCAAGTTGCAGTGTATGTATTTCTTAACCCAGGTGAATGGATTTTTTTCTTGATTATTACCTGTTTTTCGTTCCGGAACCCTAATAAAAAATAACCATAAAAGAGCTTAACGACGTGTTAATATTTACGCTGCCACAATTAGCTGTCCGATTAGCGGTGTTGGAAATATTGCCAAAAGTTCATTATTGAAAGCGAGATGTTTTCACTAGAAATACTCAGAGGAGAGATGGGCGGAGAAAACAAAATACGATTCGGCAGCAGGGATTTGTACCTAAATAATCTTGCAACCCTTACTAGAAGCTAGCAAGGGGGGCGACACATCTAAATCTCAATACTAGATGGTCAAAAAATCTCACACTAGCGAATAAATCTTCGAAAAATCTTCTTTCATTTCTCGCATCTACTTGCATCGCGCATCATCTTTTTGCAGGAAATCTTCAAAATCGTGATAAATCTTCTTTATATCTACTCAGCGTACGCGCAGCTAGCCACAGCAAAACACAATATTTCCTGCATCGTAGATAGAGTCGTCCCCCTCGAGCATTTCCCATGACTTTTACTTTTCATTCGATTTACGTGCAAAATAATAATTGAGTGCATGGCAATATTTTGCACATTTCTTGGTGCTATTAGTTAACCAACTAAGATCAATCAAACAATAGAGTTAGAATATTGTTTTTAATTAAAAAAAACTAGTTGAATTTTTATAACCTGCTAAATGGTTACATTTTGTTTTTGTATACATTTTGTAAATATTCTTTATTTTAGTTTGTACTGAGTAGTTTAGTTTTATTAATTGAATCATTGAATAACTTTACATCCACCTCCCTTTATGAACATCCCTATTCCCCTATTCCCACCCCACATAAACCTTTCACTTCCATCATGCGTTACCACCAGCATTCACAGTTGACCACGACAAGAAACGTCATTGCGCGTGTGGTTGAGACGATCGGCAGCAAAGCCGATAAAACTGCTTGTCACCGGGAAATCAACCTCTATTAGGTGAACGAATTTCACGAGTAAAAGTTCAAGTTTTTGAAAATACATATAATTTTTTATCCGCCAGTGAACGGACAGTTTTGTGAGTCTGGTGCGCCGCTAGAAGAGGCGAATCCAGCCATCGGTGAAGTGCTAGCCATCGGTGACTGTGTCCGGTGTACCGCAAGGAGCCTGAAGCCTTCCATAGGCTAATCGAAGCCATCGGCGAAGTGAAGTGAGCCGCTAACAAACCCAGCGCGCCAAGGAGGACTCGTCGGACGAATCCACCTGTTGACACCACTGGGCTTCAGCTGTACTCGCGACCGGCCTGCCGTGAAGTGAGATGTGAGAAGCGAGATGTATGCGTCACCGGTCTACAGCGGTAGGACCGTCGTTGATTGTTTACATCGATTCGTGGAGAAGTAGAAGGGAGGATATAAACAAAAACAAACCCAAGAGATAGTTAAGGAGTTCAGTTTTGTTTAACAAAGTTGTAAAATCACAAATAAATTAAAGTTTAAATCAGTTTTCTGTGGAGGTGGTAGTTTCTTAGTTTAGTGCTAAATATTCCGTGAGTAAACAAAATGAAATGCACTATACTTACTAGATGTGACATAAAATATTTCAATATTAGGGTTGACTTTCTAAATCGGATGATTCGATTTACCGCCAGAAGCTGAAGATACTATCAGAATAGTTCCGTAAACAAGTTGAATTAATTGATTGATTGTGAGTACCTATAAATAATAAGATTAGAAGCAAAACAATTAGAAACTAAACTTACCTATTTAGGACTAGTGTTGGAACTGAAAACAGCAGCATAACCAGTGTCGTAGCACGAGGGATTAGAGGGGACTATTTCTTGTAAGTAACTTAGTAATTAATTCAAGGTGAAATAGTTCTTTATTAAAATATATATTACAGTTGAGCTGCTTGAAAAGTTTCTGCAAAAATTTAGTCAAATTCTATAATTGATCCGAACACCACCGATGTCTGCCAGCCGTCCAATACATCACCCACAAGTGGGTACTGTGCCAGGTGACGATCTCCTCCCTAAAACTAGATTCCTTCCGTCCCAAATTAAAATTAAAAAAAATCATGAACTTAAAAAAAAACATAATGAATACACTAAATTAAATTAAACTAACTCAGTTTTCAGTCCATTATTTAAACCACGCATTCCCTATTTCTTCTATCGCTCTGGTTCTTTACCTTGAATAGTTTTTGGGAAGTATTTCCGCCCAATTCCTCTCTGGAGCAGGTTAAACGACCCTGAATCCCAGGATAAAGCCTGGAAAGCCTGAAGTCCCCAGACAAAAGATAATCAAACAAATTTGAGAAGCACACGAAACATAAAGGTGATTGAATTTCTGTTCGATTGCAATACTCTCTAAATTAATCTAGTAAGAATAAGAAATTATCGGAAAAATTCTAATGGGAATGTTCGATTGGCTCAGATTTTGACAGTTCATTTGGCTCAAAACATTCCTTCCGCTTATCTCTCCCTCTGAGTATTTCTAGTTTTCACTAGGGAAATTATCGATGGGAATTTCGCAAAGCGTTATTTCCCGAGCGAACTTTCTTGTTTTTCTCATCGTCGCCCACTGGTCACCATAGCCGGTCGAACTCCAGACGAAGCTAGAACAGCACTACCATTCATACTGGCGACAACGCTCTGATGAGACAACGAAACCCTACCCCAAGCTCCTCCCCTGATCCTATCCTTCAACAATGTACCCCTCTAACCTCGAGTAAGCCGCGAGTAATCGGCCCAACTCCTACTAGACATAGAATTAAGTGAATTTTGTTACAAACAGTGAACAATGAATTATCGGCTCCGTAAAGCTAACGCGATTGAGCCTTCCAAATAAACGAAATGGATAAAAAAAAAACTTTCTTGTTTGAGATTGAGAGGAACTATTATCACTACCACTTTTACTCATCTGCAAGAGAGAGCGTATGTTAATTGATATTTTTGCTCTAGCTCCCTTGCACAACTTTTCGTTCCCGATATAAACAAGAGATACAGAAATTAAAACCTTATAAATGTGTATTAAATGCATCCTAAATGTATACTTCCACCACTTATAACGCACAGGTAACTCCTACATGTATGTAACCTAAATAAAATCATGCATAAAGCATAACACATATAGGCCTATTCTGCGTGGCGTGTGAGGTGAGATGACTCGCTGTCACTAGAGAAGTGACAATTGTCACCTCGGGTGAGGTGACTCTCCATTTGATTTGCATGGAGACTCACCTCACCCGAGGTGACAATTGTCACTTCACTGTCACGTCACCTCACACGCCGCGCAGAATAGGCCTAATAATCTAGCAAAAGAAAACATCAGCAGAGTGGCAGATATTAAGCGAGATAATTTCATTCTACTCCGCTACGAAACATGACAAAGGAGACAAGTACATCAGCTAGTTCGTTTCTCGATTTTTTGTGAAATAGGTTGAGAGAGCGAAATCGGAATTCTCTTTCGGAATCGTTTGCTGAACAACTGTTTCGCACATCTCCCGAACTCATTTCATTCGCGATTTTCGATAGCTAGTTCTTCAGCGAAATGCTTATCTGAAGAACTGCGCATAAACTTTTTTTTAAATGAACTTTCCAACACTGCCGATCAGGAATTACACTTTGCATCGACGCAACCATCACAGGGCTAATGTTTGCATCATGTCTGGCCACACCAGACGGATCATCCGGAAGAACGATCGCTGGCGACATACTGTGCTATCATGTTTTTTAAGCTGAAGAGGGGAGTCCGTTTCGAGCGCTGGATTTTGTATCTTTTAATCGTTCAACAACAACAACACTGCACCATTAAGCTGCTACTGCGGCAATTCCATCGGCAGCGAAAATTACATTGTCTTGATTGATTATTCCTCTGATCTCAGTCTGCAAATTGAATTGCACAAAACAAAACATTTGAGCTGTCGTCTATACCCGGTTGCCAGAATATGCATTATTCACAAACAAAAACTGTCAAAACAATGTGGCACAGATGGCACTGCCGGTACATCGTGGCACACTGTGAAAAAAACTGGCACAAATTAAGTGTGTAGAGTGACCTACCCCTTGATGTATTCAACGCAATTTTGCTCATAACCGCGTAGTACTCAGAATAGGCGCCCAACAATTCATTTGTGTATTTTGGAGCACATTTTTTATAGGAGGAGCGAATGTAGATCGATATTCCTGATATTTAATAAAAATAATAATAATAATATTAATCGGTTTGCGGAGCTGGTTACTCATGGAGTTGGGTATTGCCTAAAAATCAGAGGCCTTTTCTGCGCCGCGGGTGAGTTGAGGTGACTCACGACGCAGAATAGGCCTCAACATTATTTCCAACTGCATCACTGTATACCTACAACTCATTTATGACAAACTCCAGCTCAGCTGATGTCACTTTACCTCATTCGAAAACAGTAGTGCGAACAATGCATAATACGCCCACACACGCACTGACCGGTGGTCGATCGGACGACCACTCCAAATTCCGAACCATCGCATTGTTGTTGAACAGTAGCTCCCGTGGCATCATTAAGGGATTTCGGCATCAGAAGAGAAAGCTATACAACTAACAGTTACACCAAAGCATGCTTTGATTCGAAATAGAGAGAATTTATTGCTTCGATTACTTCACTTTGACTGGGCAAAGCAGGCGTGCGCGTGTTTCTATTTTAAGTTCCATTGTGCATTCCTAGAATCCACGTCGTTGCAGTTTTTTTTTTTTAATTAATATTATAGCAGTGCTGCCAAAAAACCTACAAAAAATATATTTACACTCAAAGCTTTCGGCCCGGTTCCTCCGTGGAGTTTTTGTTTTTAGTGCAGTCGCATCTCTAATCGCTAGAATTGGTTAGTGTTCCCTCTGAAACAAGGCACTTTCTAATTGCTACACAACTGTACAACCGATAGTTACTATTCCTCTTTTAAACTCTCTGTTTTAACCTGAACTAAAACCTACTAAAAAAACGAGTAAGAAAAACAGTTGGCGCCTTTACACTTCGACAGGTAGTTGATAGAATACTTATTTGTTTTCATCTGTTGGTGTGCTTTCCAAAATTCGAGCAAAACAAAAAACAATAGTCAATTGATCATGCTAATACATTCGACCTCGGTTCTGCGGCGATCCGGTTCCATGGGAACAGGGCGCTGCTGCCGGTCCCCGGTCCGCGTTGTTCGTCTCTTCGATGTACAAATTGCCCGGTCCCTGGCTTTGGATGCAATTTTTGTTATCTGAAAAGAAGCGAAGGTGGTTGGGAAGAAGCGATTATTGCAGGGATGTCACAACTTTACAAAACACGCACGCGAGGTGTCGCAAAAGCAATAAAACAGACAAGAAAGACAAACGGCTGCAGTGATCCCATTTTCGGCTTTGATTATTTATTGTCCGGCTGGATTAGGAGGGAAGGAACGCGCAGATTGACGTAATGGTTGGTGAATTCTTCTGCATACAATAAACGGAAAGGTACTGGTGAGAGATGGTGAGTAATAAATTTTCCTGAAACTCAAACTCGCCGGGCACCGCGAACCAGATGGTTCCCGTCAGATATTCGTTCGGGAATTGGGGGTGATCATTTGTGCATTTGGGGGAAGCTTAATGCGTTTACTTTACTCTTCTCGCTTGCTCATAAACGAGGTACGAGAACTGACTGAGACTGAGCTAATTATATTCCACTCGAGTCCAGTCCATTACGGAGAATTCCATTAACGATGGTAAGAAGGATTGTTATGACACCTGGACTTGCGAGATGGGTCGGTGATTAAAGCTGTGCACGGCACGCAGGAGATTGTATTTATAATCCGCCGTATTTTACTGGAAACTAAAAGACTACGTTCTACCACGTACTGAAACTTCAAGGACAAGAATCACAGCAGGGTTACCAGTGTATACAGATTATTCTGTATTTTACAGATTTTTTTGAGTGTGCAATTTATCTAATTTCTGACAAGCAAATTAATAGTTTTGTTCCATTTCCCATACATTTTCCCGTACAAATTTTAAAGCTCAACCGCAGTTCCAGATTGTAACCAAGTTCGTTCAAATTTGACACAGTTGTTGGCGGCCTCAATGCACATCGAAAGAACAGTGGGTATCAGAGGGATGTCATTCGCCATATATCACAAACGAAGTGACAGACGACAACTGACGAAGAAAGCAATTAAAATAATGTGATTCGCTGTAATAGAATTTTCTTAGATGCTTGTGCCATCAGCCACCAGATGGGCTAGTATTTTTGTTTTGATTTGAACAAAGTTGTCCTACAACCACTCAGAGACCTTGGAAGGCAAATTCAATTGAATATTAATTTACCCTTTGTCCATTCGACATTTTGCTCCTTCGACCATTCGTCCTTGCATATTTTCTCTTTCGACCTAGGGTTCTTCGACCTTTTTCTCCCTTCAACTTTTGCGTTTTTCGACCTTTTGTCCACTCGATCTTTCTTCCTTCTAACTTTTGTCTTTCGACCTTGTGTCCGTTCGACCTTTTTTTCCTTTCGACCTTTTGTCCTTTCGACCTTGTTTTCCCTGCGACCTATTTGTCCAAGTTGACCTTTTGTCTTTTTCGAACTTTTGTCCATTCGATAATATTGGACCTTTTGTCCTACAACCGCCCAGAGACCTTCGAAGGCAAATTCAAAAGAAATTTATTTGACCTTTTGTCCATTCTAACTTTTTTCTTTAGAACTTTTGTCTTTCGACCTTCTGTCAGTCGAGCTTTAGTTCTACAACCGTCCAGAGACCTTCGAAGGCAACTTCCAAAGATGTTTTATACATTTGATCTTTTGTCCATTCGATATTTTGTCGTTCGACCTTGCGTCCGTCGACCTTTTGTCACTTCAACCTTTTTTGCATCGCCTCGGACACATCCGACCATTTGTTTATTTTACCTTTTGCCTTTTTTACCTTTTGTACATTCGATCTTTTGTCTTTCGACCATGTGTCCTATTGCATTTTTCGACTTGTCCATTCGATATGTTGCCTTTCAAATTTGTGTCTTTCAACCATTTGTGTCCTTGAACATTTTGTCCTACAACCGCCCAGAGACCTTCGAAGGAAAATTCAAAGGAATTTAATTAATCCATTTATCCATTCGACTATGTGTCCATTCGAACTTTTGTCTTTCGAACTTGTGTCTGTCGAGCTTTTGTCCTACAACCGTCCAGAGACCTACGAAAGCAAATTCAAAATAATTTCATTCGACCTTTTATCCATTCGACCATTTGTCCATTCAATCTTTTGTCTTACGAAATTTTGTCTTTCGACCTTGTGTCCGTTGACCTTTGCCCCTTCGACCTTTTTTCCCCTTTGACCTTATGTCCCTTCGACTTTTTGTAGATGGGACAAAAGTTTGAAGGACACTAAATCGAATGTACAAAAGGTAAAAACAAGGCAAAAGGTTAAAATGAAGAAAAAATTTCACCCTTTTGTCCATTTTGACCTTTTGCATTGTTTTACCTTTTGTACATTCGATCTTTTGTCCTTCAAACGTTTGTCTTTCGACCTTGTGTCCTTCGACCTTTGGCCCTAAAACCAACCGGTGGAAACTAACGATTTAAAATTGGTTCACTACTTGACTAGCCTATTGGCCCCAAGCAAATCGATTAACGTACCCCATTCTAGTCGAAATTCTAGTACTACACTCTGTTTGTTTTGATTCGCTATGAAAGTTTGACAGTTAAAATGAGGAGTTGGTGGATTTTCCTATGTTTCGAGGGGTGCATCGATTAGCTTGGGACCGAAGAGAGTACCAGAGCTGAGCCAAAAAGTTGAGCACGTTTCTTCGGGAACTTCTAGTCTTAGAGTTACCTCTATGAGGGTCAAAATAAATAACTCTGGTGGAAAAATTGAATCACGCTAAAAATTTGGAGGTGCACATATAACTGAAAATTTCTGGTGGAAAGTTCGCTACACTGCAGTGAATGTAAAAGCAAGGTTTATTCATTTTTCTGGTGCATAATTTGCATCGTTCTGATGAATGCAAGCTTCACTGAAAATTTATGGTGGAAAATTTGCACCATTCTGGTGCATGAAGAGGCAAAGCCTGAAAGTTGCACCACAAAAGTGCATGGTGAAACAAACTTCACTGACTATTTTTGGTGCACCGTTTTGCTGAATGGAGGAGCATGCATTATTGAAAATTTCTGGTGCAAAATTTGCATCGCTCTGATAAAAGAAATGAACAGAAAATTTCTGGTGGAAAATTCGCACAGGTCTGGAAAATGAAGGCACAAGCTTTATTTAAAATTAAGCTAAATTGAAATTTAAAATTAAGCTGGTGGAAAATCTGCACCGTTCTGGTGAACAGACAAGCTTTTCGGAAATTTTTTGGTCTTAAATTTGCATCCCTCTGCTGAATAGAGAAACAAATTTTAATAATAATTTCTGGCGTAAAATTTGCATCATTCTGATGATTGGAGGGAAGCTGCTTTACTGAAAATTTATGATGAGAAATATAAAAATAGGGGCAATCATCAACTTTCTGATGATAGGAGAAGCAATCTTTATTGAAAATGTCTGATGGAAAAAGGAAATCTGCACCAATCAGAAGATTGGAGAAGCAATTTTTATTGAACATTAACGGTGGAAAATGGGCAGCGTTCTGGTCAATTGAAATTTTCTGGTGTAAAATTACCTGGGGGCAAGTTTGTATTAAAAATTTCTGGTGTGAGATTTACAACAGTCTGCTACATATAGGGGCAAGCTGAATTGAAAATTCCTGATGTAAAAATTGCACAGTTCTGGTGAATGGAGGGGCAAGCTTTATGGAAAATTTCGGGTTGTATCAAAACTACAACGTTTTGGTGAATGGACGGACAACTTAAACTTGACTTCCGAGAAGAACCTCAAGGATATTGAATTCTGAGAACAGTTCCAAAAGAAAAGATTTCTGGGATGATTTCAGGAAAATTCTGCGAATAATTTTTAGTGAATCCTGCAGATAGTTCCAAGATAATTTCGAAAATAATACCGAGAGAATTAAATTTTGAATGAAATTCCAAAGGGATGTTGAGGAAAATTTAAAAGGAATGCCGATGATAATTTCAAGCTCATTCTGGGAAGAATTTCTGGAGAATATAGAGATAATTCTTCTGAAACTTTAGGGGAATTCCAGTTCCAAGTGTTCTGAGAAAAAAAAGTTCAAAAATATTCCGATAAGAACCTTTTTAGGACAGTTCCAAAATATTTTTAAAGAGAATTCAAATAAAATTCTGATGATAATTTCTAGTGTATCCTGCAGATAGTTCCTAGATAAATTTGAAAATTATACCGAGAAAATCAAATTTTGAGTGAAATTCCAGAGGGCTTCTAAGCAAAATTTCAAGCGAATGCCGAGGATAATTTCTAGCTCATCTAGATAATTTCTCATCATTCTAGCTTACTTCGTTCAAATCAGTCTCCCATGAATCATCAAAAATATTTTCCCGAGAGAAAATATTCAGATAATCCCGAGCAACCTGATTCTCAATAGTGACTCAACTAGTAAGACCCAAACTGAAATTATGGGAACTCTCGAATTGCTTAGCAAGTTTCTGAGTTTTTTTCCAAATTTGTGATCAAAATTTTACCACCTTCTGTAAGCGCTGGAATAGGCTTTTGAGGTTTTTTCAAATTTTTTGTGAGTTTCCAAAAGAGTTTGGAACTCGGGTCTAATTTAGAAACATTATTTTCAAAAGTTTTGTTCCACAGGGCAGAGAATCGCTTTTTAATTTGTTTTTGCAAATCCCGCCAGATAACTTTCATGGCAGGATCGCGTGTTCTTTGAAATTGTCTCCTACGGACATTTTTAAGACGGATCAAGAGCTGAAGATCATCGTCTATTATAATTGAATCGAATTTAACCTCGCATTTTGGTACTGAGGCAGCTCTTGCTTCAACTATAGAAGTAGTCAGATAATCAAGAGCATAATTAATTTCATCTTTGGTTTGCAAAGGAATGTTTGGATCGAAGTTATACTCCATAAATGTTCGATATTGCTCCCAATCAGCTCTATGGTAATTGAAAGTAGAGCTGTTGGGATTACAAATTATTTCTTGGGATATTTCATTGCAGCAAATGTATCATTTCGGTTAATGCCCTACTATTGCAACCATTTGACGAACCGATCATCATCCACATTGTAGATGTGACTAAATTGCCAATTCAATTGGCTGTCTGAAAGCAGTTTGCATTGCAAAAGATGAACCACCACCGGAGCAAAAAATAAATAAAATTAGCTAAATTGAACAGTAGG